GAAACTCGGCATAAATTGACTGTGTGCTCAGTGACGGATTATCCTTAAGGCAAACTAGGCACGTGCTTATAAGCGCAGGATAAAAAGAGACGCCCGTGGAAGATTTTAAACAAATAAAATAGGTCTTTTTGATTATCCTATATGGTCTTTACCCTCTCATTACATTTTTTATTCAAGCGCATCTATTGAGGCTACTCGTGTGTTAAATATTTTGCAACTACTAAACTATATTATAATCAAATATTATACTCTTTAATTCTGTCCTCCATGGTGGCACTAATCCGGAGGCGTGGAGCAGAAGTGCGGTGGGCTTGTTCTTCAAGAAAGGTGACAACGCTCTTTTGAAGAACTACAGACCGATTTCCTTTCTGAGCCGAGTCTACGTGTTGTTTTCGAGAGTCATTACGAATCGTCTCGCACGCAGACTAGACGAGTTCCAGCCCCCGAACAAGCTGTTTCCGAAAAGGCTTTAGTACCATAGACTACATACATACCCTTCGGCAAATTGTACAGAAGACTGAAGAGTACAAACTGCCACTTTTCCTGGCGTATGTGGACTATGAGAAAGCTATCGATTCCGTCGAAATTTGGACGGTGCTACCGGTCCTTTCAGCGGTGTTAAGTTGACTGTCGGTATCTTAAAGTACTGAAGTGTTTGTACAGTAGGGCTAAGATGGCTATTCGAGTACAGAACCAGAGTACGAAACCTATCCAACTGCAGAGAGGTGTAAGACAGAGTGACGTTATATCCCCGAAACTCTTCACCGCTACATTGAAAGACGTTTTCAAGCTACTGGACTGGAAAAGATACAGTGTAAACATCAATGGCGAGTACATCACTCACTTTCGATTTGCCGACGATATAGTCCTTATGGCAGAATCACTGAAGGACCTGAGCTCTATGCTCAATTACCTCTATAGTGCCTCCCGACGGATAGGTCCCGAAATGAACATGGACAAAACTAAGATCATGTGTAATGTCTTAATGTGGAAGAACTAAGCTCAAAATTGTAAACGAGTATGTTTACCTGGGACAAATAGTCCGACTGCGTAAGTCCAACTTCGGCCGAGACTTCAATCAACGGATTCAATTCGGCTCGGCAGCGTTCGGGAAATTACGACACATCTTCTCGTCAGCTATACCTCAAAACCTAAAAATGAGATTGTACAAGCAGTGCGTATTGCCAATGATGACTTTACGGAACTGAGACGTAGACCTTCACTGGTGGCCGTATCCGACGCCGACGACGCTCAAGGTCACTCAGCGAGCTGTGGAGACGGCTGTGCTCTGGGTTTCTGTGCGTGATAAACCTACAAATGTGGATATTTACTGTAGAACCAGAGTGACCGACATAGCCCAACGGATTCGTAAGCTAAAAAAGTAGCAATGGGCCGGCCATAAGTATAGCTCGAAAAACCGACAACCGATAGGGAATAAAGATTCTCGAGTGGCAGCCTCGTACCGGCAGAAGTAGTGTAGGGCGACTCCCCCTGTATGGAATGACTACCTGGTAAGACGTGCAGGAAGTCGATGGATGCAGGTGGCTCAAGACCGTGCTTTGTGGCATTCCTTGGGGGAGGCCTATGTTTTTTTCTTTTTTTTTTGGGTATATTATAAAAAAAAAAAAAAAAAAAATTTAAAAAAAATAAGAAGGGCAAGCTATATCACGATATAGCCAAGAAACACTGTTAAATATTATGAAATACCGCCATTTCGCTTTCAATAATCGACTAATTTGTGATATTATAAATTCTAAGATCTGATCAATACATATATAAAAATATTTTTATTTAAACTATAATGTTAGTAATAGTTTTGTACTATAGTTCGGCCGTTCAGAGAATGCGTTCCTGACACGTCGCGATTGAACTGACGACGTAACTTTGTAATGGCGTTGCAGTTACGATAAAAATATTTTTGCTGGTTGTTTACCGTTTTAACAATTGATGAGCATTAAAACAACATTATTATATCAATAATCAATGAATGTTATAATTTTGTGCCAAACTGAGTGTCAAATAACTTGGTAAACAATATTTTTCTAAATCTATACTGCGCTATTACAAGGTTATGTCAGCGCTTTATATTTGTAGTGCTGTGCTAACAATAACAGGCAATAACAGTATCGTAATCTGTTCTTATACAGTTATACTTTATAAAATAATACGTTTTGTTTTTCTTTTTAAGAATTTGAAAATAATGGACTATAAGATAACTTTTATTAAATATAAAAATAAAACTACGACCAAACCGAACGCGCGAAAGAAAGTAGCATTTTTATATTTAGGTTGAAAATGGTAACCCCAAATGGCGTTATGGGCCGCCATTTTGTGACGCTAAAACAGTCGTCTGTTGTCGTTTCGTGCGCATAGACCACGTTCTTCAAGTGTTTTCGATCTGTTTTTATTTGATTACCCGGCTTTCGTTTAATGGACTGTTTCTGCTTTTCAAACTGACATCGGCGCTAAATCGGACTTCGATTGTGTTTTGTATTGCGTTCTTTTTACTTTTGGTGCATAATAATGCCTAAACGTGGACAAACATTGAAAAGTGGAGCCCGTGAGTTAATCATCAAGCTGCAAGATTACTTTGAGCGGGAGCGGCAAAATGGCGGACCCCTGTTACCTGTCGAACAAGTACAAGAACGCGTCTCTCAGGCGCTTGGAGTTAGCAAACGAACGATAACAAATATTAATAAAGAAAAGTTCGGCTCTACTGGCACGGAAGATAATATTTTACGTACTCCGAAGAAGAAACGTAGAACTAAACCCGTGACAGATATTGACACCTTTGACGCCGATGCAATCAGAAATCATATATATGGTTACTATTCCAGAAATGAATATCTCAACAGGAATAAGCTTTTGGCATCGTTAAGAGAAGCTGGACTGTTTAGCGGGGGTAAAACTGCTTTAACCAATATCTTAAAAGATATTGGTTTTCCGTATAAAAAAACAGACAAAAGAAAAATTTTATTAGAACGATACGACATAATTTTAAAACGGATAAGTTTTTTGAGAGAAGCAAAAAATATTGATAACTGGGATAATGTCGTGTTCATTGACGAGACATGGCTAAACGCCAATCACACGGTTTCCCGTTCTTGGACGGATGATACACAAGCGTCGACGTCGAAAGTACCAATGGGTAAGGGGGGCCCGTCTGATAATATGCCACGCAGGTTCTGCAAAATACGGCTTTGTGGAGAACGCGTTACTGGCATTTCAATCAAAAACCACAAATGACTACCACGAGGAAATGAATGCCACTACATTTAAAGAGTGGTTCCAGAACGTGCTTTTGCCCAGCCTACCAGAGCCTTCTGTAATATTCATGGATAATGCCTCCTATCACTCGGTTCAAATACAGAAACCACCTACCCAAGCTAATAAAAAAGAAGAAATGGTGGCTTGGTTACAAGCAAAAGGCATTGACGCAAATATGCAGATGCTAAAACCAGAGCTAATTAAATTAGTTAAAGAAAATAAAGCGGCAAATGTGCGATACGAAATCGATGAACTGGCTCTGGAGTACGGTCATCGCGTTCTAAGAATTCCACCGTATCATTGCCAATATAACGCGATTGAGCTAATCTGGGCTCAAATAAAAGGTTACGCCGCCCGCCACAATACTTCCCCGCCATTCAGCACGAAAAAGATGATGACCCTATTAAAAGAAGCCTGCGGGGAAGTCACAAGAGATGACTGGGCAAAGGTTGTTGAGAAGACTAAAAACCTGATTGTGGAACATTTTGACCGAGATATCAGGATTGATTCTGTTATTGATAATAATATAATTATACATGTAGGCGAAGATGATGATGAAGACACCACCTCCTCAAGCGAATCGGAGTCTGATTAATATTCTGTACGCACATTCAATTCAATGTACTTTATTGCATAGAAATACAGATTGTAACTTTGTAACAAAGAATAAATAAAACAATTTTATTATATTAATATTACCTTTTTTTGGTTTCCACTTAAATTACTAAAATATAAATTTTAAATGATTCCGCCAATTTAAAACGAAAATAATCTTAAAAATAACGCGGCGGTTCATTTTGGAGGAACGGTAACGAACTCAGTGTTATGTTGTGCCCATCACTGATAGGTGGCAGGAACGCATTCTCTGAACGGCCGAACTGTAATTGCAATTTTGATCAGTTTATTTATAGATAAAAAAAAACTAATACCTACTAAAACATTTTATAAATTAGAAATTAAACTTAGAAAAATCCTTAATTTTATGATTTTCGATAGATGTCACTATTAAGTAGTAATTAGGTAACTAATAATAATTATTACATTAAATAGGTAACTATAGTAATATAATATTTATTTATATTACTAAAATGAAATAACAATAACTAAAAAATGTACATTAGAATTTTCAAATCAATTATGAATTTAATTAAATAACTATATAAATGTAAGTTATTTATACTATTTAATTTATTAGTAACTGGAGGCAAAATGTCACTACTTTTTGTATTTTACGTTAGATGGCACTGTCTTGAAAAAGCGAATACAACAATAATATCGTTACGACGTACGTAACGTAGTTCAGTTTATTACGCAACGGTTAAAACTTATTTTGGGCTTTATTTATAAATATTTTATTTATTTTAATAAAACACATCAATCGTATAAAATAGAAGATAACATCTAAAGGAAGGAAAATACTTAACCCTTCTTTTTTGAAGGTCCGTAATGGGATAAAAAGTTAAGTTGCGTCGGGTCCCTAACTACCTACACACAAAATTTCATGTAAATCTGTTTAGTAGTTTTTGCGTGAATCTTGAATACACAGAAGACAGACAGACAGACAAAAATTCTAATAACCACTAATTTGGCTTCAGTGTCCTTTATTTAGTCCCCTGAACTTGTATTTTCCAGAAAATATTAGAACTACGGACACGACTTTTATACCGATTTATCATATGTATAGATCTTCCCTATGGAAATTTATAATTTATGCAACAATTTTTTCTTTGCAGGTCCTCCAGTAAAGCCGTCAATTTTGAGACCCTGAGAGAAAAACAAACATTCCAAATTGCAAAAAAAAAGCTTGATTATAAATTCAAATGAAGATTGCTCACTACCCTCGGTCTTTAGATACCTAAACGTCCTCACAATTATATATAAGGCGACATTTTCTTGAAAAAGGATACCCTCCAAATGTTTGGGCGTAAAGATATAGTCAAGAGGATTGTATAAATGAACTAGGTCAGGATTGCTCAGAAGTATTACATAATAGGAAGGTGGCATTTATATTATACATTTATGTACATCGAATAATCGAAGTTGGTCTCAACCTTAAATTTGTGACAAATCAACGATTAAAACCTCTTAAACAAAGTCTGTACATAATGATTTCTTAAATTTACGCGAACACTACACATTGAATAAAACTAAATTTACGGATTCTATCGCGTTAATTTAACTGATTTTACTCATTTTTAATTCCCGACGTTTCGGGTGCTTTACAGCAACCATGGTCACGGGGGGGGGGGGGGACTGAGATGTTTGACGTCCCAATGTCATTGTTAGCCCGGCTACCTTCAGTTTAAATAAGTAAAATCAGTTAAATAAACGCGATAGAATCCGTAAATTTAGTTTTATTCAGTTTTTGAAAGTCTGTACATATGCAATACACGATGAATAAGTGAAAACTCACTTTGATAACAATGTATATATTTATAACTTTAGATTTAAATACGACTTTATGTGGGCGTAGAGATTTTATTATGCGGTCGCACTAAGTGTTAAATGAAGTCAATAAACACGTGTGAGTTACTTATAATAAATTATTGTTAATACTGGTTGTTTTTAATTCATGCGATTACATATTGGGTGCGTTTGGCAGAAAAAAGCGCTAGCAAACGCTTGTAAGCAAAATGGCGATCGTAAGCGATAAGCGCTGTCAAATCGTAAGTAGCTATTTTCCTCCGGGACACGATGTTAGTTTTAACTGGGGAACCTAACCTAATTTAAATATATGTTTGTAAAGTATTCATATTAAAAACTTACCAATCATGAATTTTTAATAACATGTATATGTCTATTCATGTCATTATATTACTTAAAACTAATATTGCACAAAAAAACTTATAATTTCTACTTAAAAACAAACAAATTAAATAAGCAAAATGGCGGATTGTGTCAGCTCTACTGAAGTAGCAATCGTGTCCTGGCCGAAAACTATTTTAGCGCTTGTAAGCGCTTGCTAGCGATTTTTTCTGCCAAACGCACCCATTGTCATTGTATGTCGCAATTTTTATCTGTTTTTTATAGGAAAGAGTGACAGGCGAGCACACCTCCACCTGAATGTATACCACCGTCCACCTGATGATAAGTAGTTGCTGTGGCCCATATATATCTACATCTATCCTTGACTAGGAATCAAAATGCAGATGCGTTGTCACCCGTGAGGACTAAAGTTGGAATGCCTCGTTTCCAGTAAAAGGAATCTCCGGTTCTCTACACTCACCATATGAAACACAGCAGCGTTAAGCTGCTATTTTACGCTGGTATTCTGTGAGATCGTGGTCCTTCACCGGTCGAACCGACCCATTCGTGCAACAACTACTTATACTACTAATATAACTGCAGTATGGCTGTACGGGTTTCACACGAGTTCAAATTATCAAAAATTTTTCTTAGGTATGTTTTTACAGTACAAAAGGAATAAAAAAGTTTTGCTGGTAAGGATCATCGAATTCGAGTGTCTCCCATACTATGAAAAATAAGGAGAACATCCACTCCTGCGCTACGATGGTTAGCATGTATGTTGCTACAAATAAAATAAAAAAAATACTTAAAATACAATCTATTTAAAAAACTTATTGTAATATATATATATATATATATATAACTGTATTATTGTGTATTATACGCATGTTTTTTTTGTTTGTCTTCCGACATTTGTAAATTATCGTATATTTTATGTACACCATTAAAATAGGCTTATTTAAAAGTCTACGATTTAACAATGCCAACGTTTCTAGCGACCTCTGCAAATGCATCTACGGCGCGTTTTACATCTTGTTGCGTGTGCGCAGCGCTTAGTTGTACTCGAACTCGCGCGCCCCCTTTTTGGTACCACTGGGTAACTAAAAGCCACCACATAAATACCACGCTCTGAAACAATATTATAACAATTGTTTAATGTTTTTGTTTATATCAAATAACATTAAAATAGATATGTGCGGTCTAGGTCAAACATTAAGAATTTAAATTCACAGCCGTTTCATCGTTAGTTACAATTTTATATAGGTATACCTGGTAAATTATTAGGTACTTCGGATTAATAAATGTCAAAAGCCCTTATCACGGTATTAATATCAACCATATAGGACTACACGCCGCGTGGTACTGTCGATCGACACCACAGTCAGAAATCGTAATAATAAGACAATAGAAGTCGCATAGACGCGTGACCTTGTCGCCGCTGTCATGTGTTGGCGAACATAATTCACCATTTTGTGATTTAGTTGCGCGGGGAACGTCGTATTTATGCTATTATAAATTTATAATGGTGAACTGCCGCCTAATCAGTTGTAAAACTCACCAAGGACGTCTAATTCAACTAATAAAGGCATAATATTTCATGGTTAAGTTGATTATTTACTAATTATAATTGTTTTAACTAATTTACATCTAGATGAATTCTTTAAGTAAGATGTGGCGACATCGGTTTTGGAAGTAATCGAACGCTAATTCATTTCTATTGTCTTATTATTACTATTTCTGTGATCGACACGCTCTACTGCTTGGCTTGGTGATAGAATTAGATAAGAGGGTTGCCCCCTAGGCAGAAAAGAACCCATACCACATAAACATTCAATGAAATTACATGGTGTATCTAGGTTTATAGTTACAATGGTAAAAGTGTATGAGCAACACATTTCACGCAGGTATGATGTTATTATATCCATCCGTCTATATAAAGACGTTAAGAAATCATGAAAACATACCAAGCATTCCCGCAGCTAGTTCAACAGCTAGCGGTGCATCGCCAACCATAACTGGACATATGGGATGGTCATCACCAGCAACCGTCAGTCCGGCCGACTTCAGACCTGATCGGAACGCGCGCGTGTTCTCTCGTAGCCTTTGCCGAAGTTCACCGCTATGTTCCACTAGATCTAGTGCCTGGAAATAAGTGATTAAATTTTAATTATCTTCATTTAGTGTGTTCATTGGCTTATCTAGGGTTATTTTCCTGACCCTTGAAAAGTCATGACTGGTGAAGTACAAGCCTAATGTACGTAATAAAAGTAATTCGACTTGAAATGTTAAGTCATATTAATGCAGGGGCGTAGCTACCGCCGTATCAGCCGTATCAATGATACGGGGCCCCCGGGCTACAGGGGCCCCGAACGTGTGTAGTAATCAAAAGATCGTAAAATGTTATCCACAAATCCACTTGAACTCTTAGGCCGTACTTCCCGAAAAAAAAAGTCATATCATCAAATAATGTTCCCAACGTTCCTAAAGAAGACCTGTCAAGAAATTGTCCAATTTTCTGTAGTTTTTCGATACATCTCGATAACAGAAAATTGTGATTATGTATTTAAAGAAATTATAATCCTTATTGACAAACATATTACAAGCACAAAATTTACGTTGGTTATTAGCCCCTAAGCTGAAAACTTCTACCTACTTTCAGGGGTTAAAATAAATTAATAGTTGCCTAGACGGGGTGCATAATCGGAATTCATATATATTATTTTTCTTTCGATTTTCTCAAGCCCAAGATACTTTGTAGACATTATCCATAAAAAATTATACATATTTTTTGTTTGAAAGGTCAAAGCAGAAATTAAAGAAGTACCTCACAGAATTACAAATTCATGGAAATCTTGGCATAAAATAATTTAAAATGAATACAAACATTCATTACTAACGTTTTTTGGAATTCTTGCAAAATACGTGCCAGTTCTTCGCTAAAACATCTGTTGTAGCAAAGTAATTTAGAATACAATTGCAAATGTACATTTAAAGAGACGAATTTAGCCAGGATATTAAATTACGTCTGCTCAATAATGAAATAGTGTTGGTAATTGCCTGAACTAATTGCAAAATTTATAAATTACGCAATAATATTATTTAAAACGAGGCAATTTAATTAGAATTTATTTTATTTTAATTTTGCAATACGTAATGCATGGACTGTACCGGTGTAACGTCTGTAACGGTGACGGTAACGGCAATACGTAATACGTTTTTGATAAAATTTTTGTTTATTAAAAATTAATTAATAATTAAAGTGTATGAATTAAACTGTACTTGGGGTAAAAAGTCGGAAGAAAAAATAAAAGTGAACTCCGATTATCAACCCCCGTCTGGGATGGATAGATGAACACGCGTTTGCGAGAATCCACTCTAGGGTGGATTTTTTAGGGTTGACAAACGGAACTACCCAAAAAATATACTTTTTTAGCATTTATAAAAAGTGCTTGTCATTTCTGAGTAACGACTAACGATTCACCTAAAAATATAAAATTACCCTTAAAAAGGTGTATTACTCAGCCTCCGCAGTCCGTCAGCGGACAGAGGAGGCTTAGTAATAGGCCGACTGTCTGACAGCGGACTGTATCTCATATCCGTAATAGGTAGACAATTGAAATTTTTACAGAATGTGTATTTCAGTTGCCGCTATAACAACAAATAATAAAAATAAATTAAAAATGAAAGGGGCTGGTAGGGACTAGAAACGTGTTTTACGATGATACGGAACCCTTTATGCGCGATTCCGAGTCACACTTGGCCGATTTTTATGTTGTATGTACCTGTGTTACACGATATATTCGTCAATAATAATTGTAAACCATTTTAATGCCTCTTTTTATTAAATAGGTTATAAAGTTGGAGAAAATATTTCACCCCTAAGTGTGGGATAATAGGGAATAAGATAAATGATAATCCTTAGATTAATAAAACTGATGGCGAAAATAATTATTTTATCCTTTTAAGTTTTTAAATTCTGCTTCAACTTTTACAAAAAGTTTAATATCGGTTTTTCTTTTTTATTAAAACTCATTTAAATTACAGCATTTTTAATTAATGAATAAACTTTTTTATTAATTCTTTTTTTGGGTTAGTAACCAATTCAATACCGTGAGGTTGGCACGGGCACGGCCTACCTTGCCAACCCCTACATACGCCAATGGGTGGTTACTCTTTATTTTTTTATCTTTGAGTCCGTAGGTCTTGTGCGGCCGTCGAAATTCAATGGTAAGAATCCCAGCTGGAGTCTACGTTTGTGCTAAAACCCAAATTGCTGGTCATCCTAGCCTAAGATACCTTCGATCTTTAACGTAAGAACAAGCTTTCGGAAAGCGTAAGAGCAAGCTTTAAAGACACGTGTAGGTACAATAAAACATATCCTGTGTAGTGGATAGTGGACAGAACATAACATCATAATAGATGTAAGGCCTAAGCTTACAAGGTCAGGATGTAGTGTTACTACACATCATATGTCCACTAATTATTATCTGTGTGTTATTTGTGATAAATCTCAATAGAATAGGTTAGGTTGTATTGAATTAGTTTACCTTTAAAGAAGCAGCGACCACGGGTGGTGGAGGAGCATTAGAGAAGAGGTAAGGCCGCGATACGTTTCTAAGCAATGTCACGAGCTCCTTAGGTCCCGTAGTGTAACCCCCAGCAGCCCCGCTCACTGCCTTACCCAACGTCGAACAAATGATGTCCGCGGCGCCCATCACTCCGCAGTATTCTTCAGTTCCCCTGTTTAGCAGATGATTATGATAGAACGATATAAATTGCTCCCTAACCATCTGAGAAATGGGAAGAGGCCTGTGCACAGGAGTTGGACGTATATATGCAGTAAATTTACTATTTTAACTTAAATTGTAGTAAACTTGGTCTATTAATCAAAACTACTTGGATACTACGCCGCGGCTTCTTCGGTTTGATCGTAGACGTAGACTCGATATTGATATCAATAATGATGAATGAAATCTTATTGTTGTTAAATTGTTGATTTTGTTTTGTTCTGTAATGTACCTACTACGAGTATAAGTTACTATAAATTGTTACATGCTGTGATAATCTACGATAGTGAGGCATATACTTATGTATTTGATTAATTTTAATGTACCTACTCAATGTTCAGTCACAGCCAAATAAAATAAATAAATAAACCTAGTGCAAAAACATAAATTGTTCATTTTCAAGTGAGATTACGTTGCATTTCAACATTATAGTTTATCCGTTTTTAGGTCGCTAATGCACATACATCGGGCACGGATAGGTTAGAACAAGGAATCTGTGTGTTTGAACGTAGATTTATTACGTGGCTCTATAATATCTCCCGCGCAGTTAACAGTTAAGTATGCGGAAGTAAAGTAAAGTAACTAAAGTTACAGCCTATATACGTCCCACTGCTGGGCACAGGCCTCCTCTCATTTCTGAGAGGGTTTTAGGGCAAGGAAGTGTCCGCCGCGCTGGCCCAGTGCGTGTTGGCGAACTTCACATGTCTTCGAAATATTTTTTTTTACTTATTTCTCAGACATGCAGGTTTCCTCGCGATGTTTTCCTTCACCGCCGAGCACGTGGTAAATCAGCACTTAAAATTGCAATTAATAATTTCATTGGTGCCGACGGGGATCGAACCCGGTTTGCTCGAGTATTGTGAAATTTACAGCGAGCGCTAACCATCTGAGCTAGCACGGTGATGCGGAAGTTATCACTTAATAATATACTTTTTTTAATGTAAGGGTGACAAAGATGCATACAATCTACCTGATGATAAGTGAATGTTACGGCACATAGATTTTGTTCGATTAAAATTCAAAACTTAGATGCGGTGCCTGCGATGTACGAGACGATTGAACGTAGTGCACGAATGAGTTGTCTCAACCGGAGAAGGACCACGCTCTCACAGAGTACACATATACATAGAATATATGAAATAACAGCTTAATACTGGCGTGTTTAGTTTATTGAGTATGGAGAACTAGACACCCTTTCTACTAGTCAACGATACATTCTAAAGGATGACTCACGCTAGACCGTGTCGGGTCCGAGCCTAGTGTCGGCCGTAGCACGGTCAACTAATATTACATATTATATTTTGTATGGACACACTCATGATATACCGAGCGGTAACCGAGTAACGGCCGCAAATAGACAACGCTCGGCAACAACTCTGTACCGGCTTGTAGTTGAAGATTTATCAGATTCTTCATCGTCCATAGCGATCGCAATAGCCGTTAATTCCAGATCGTCAAACTTCAACATGATTGTACTCAAGTTATAACACTATTTTTACTCGGACGATGCGTATCGAACACGCATCACGGCGCAACGGTAATTGCTCGGTCGAAGCCCGTCTTTGTAATTTCAGGCACGGGACCGGCTCGGTGACCGTGCTACGGTTGTCACTGCTCGAAAACCCGACTCGGTCTAGCGTGAGTCAACCTTATCTTAGTTCTCAGGGGTGACAGAGCATTTACATTTCAATTCTCAATCGGGAAAAGATATAGTAGTTTCAATGGGCAACGGCATCCACGCACCCTCTTATAAGCCCTCGGCTATTGTCACTCATCTTATGAAACACACCAGCATTATGCTTCTATTTTACGTTGATATAACGTGTGGGCGCGGTCCTTTCTCTATAAGGCCGATCCATTCGCGATGCATCCATAACATATTATAGTGTTCATTTAAACACTTACCGCCCTGTCTCACCAAAGAATCCAGTGGCGTGGCTATCATCAACTGCTAACAAAGCTCTGTATTTGTCAGCTAAGTTTCGAAGTCCCTTAATAGGTGCGACGGTGCCATCCATGGAAAACACGCCATCGGTCACGATTAGCTTCAGTCGTGCCTCGCTGTGTGCTAGCAGATGCTCCAATTCTAAAGAATAAATACGTGATCATCATGGCAGTCTATCACAAGTCCACTACTAACACATGGTTTTCATAAAGAATGACATAAAGCGCGGTCTTGAGCAACCTGCATCCATCTACTTCCAGTATATCTTACCTGATCGTCACTCCATCTAGTGGGGAGCCGCCCTTCACTGCGCTTACTGGTACGAGACTGTCACTCGAGAACCTTTCTTTACCATAGGTCGTGTCCTTCGAGCTACACGACTGGCACATTGTCAGTTCAACTTACACTTTATACCATGCATTCGAACAAAATGGTTTTCATCGTTCATAACGAGTACAGCAAAGAAGTAGAATAATTTGCCAGCATTTGTCTTTTCCTAGGATTATAATTTGTTTGTCTTCAAGATAAGCGTAAAAAAAAGGTTTTTGTTAACCTACGGCACTACCATTTTCGGCTACATATTCTCATAACAAAATCCATTCCGTAGAGAAAGCGTTTAAATCATGTTTTATTCGGCAGGTACATGTTGACATTTTAGTTCAACTTATCAACAAAGTTGAACTAAAATGTTATAAGTAGCTTATGATAGTTGGTGGAGCCACGTGTTTAAGGCTGCCGAAAATCTAGTTCCCCGGTCAAACCTTAAACCTATTACGCGAGATATTAACTAAAGTGGACTGTATTTGCGTTTGCTTCTACGCTTACGTAAAAGCGACTACTATAGCATGCGGTACAATGCACTCGCTCTTCCCTAAACTAAAACTATTACTTGCCAAATCGATGAAAGGAATCCTGCCTGATGAGGAGAACACAGAATTGGAACGGGTTAAAACAATTATTAAATATTAATCAGGCAGTAAATTAAGGAATACTGACTCACCGGGGTTTCTTCTATCCTGTCGATCATTATAACGACTTCTGGAACACTCCGGAGAGAGGCGGTGCGCGACGATATCTCACACGAGGTGAGGCGGGTTCCTGGAGCTCGACTGCTTCCAGGCCAAAGCGGTTTCCACTAGTGAGGTGTTTCCAAACGAGCGCGCGGGAAGAGAGAAGCGTTGTAGTTCAACGACGGCTGCGGCGGGAAGAAGCGAGAGCGCGTCGGTCGCGCGTGTCTTATATATCCTCGGCTCCGGTGATTACGCGATGTTCTAGAATCGTCTTCTTTCCCCTCCCACCCCATCACCCCGATGTGTCGATAGGAGGGTACGAATGATATCGTTTTGGAAAGGGATAATGATTCAGCAAGTTCCTACCGTCATAAATAAAAAACGCGAATGGTTTTCCGCGCAACCAATAGTTATGAAAATTTTTATACGTGGTAGAGCCATGTTGCAGTTATGTTAGTAGTAGGTATAGTTTTAGCACGAATGGGTCGACTTGACCGGGGAAGGACCACGCTCTTACAGAATACCAGCGTAAATTAGTAGCTTAATGCTGTTCTGCTATGTTTTGTATGGTGAGTGTAGAGAACCGGAGACTTTTTACTTTTTACTGGAAACGAGGCATTCCATCTTACACCTCATGAGTGACAGCGCATCTGCATTTTGATTCGTAATCGAGGATAGATGTAGATGTCTATGGGCCACAGCAACCACTTACCATCAGGTGGACTGTTTGCTCGTTCGTCACCCCATCCTATAAAAAATAAAGATTGGAAGATGCCAGAATGGTTATGTAGCCTTCGATAGATATATAGTATTAAATTATTTTGTGCAAGAGAGACGTAAATTGTCCAGACCGTCAAATGTGTAAGGCATCTCTTATCACCATCGCCAATTTGCCAGCTAAGCGTGGCGATTATGGCAAATAATTCATACAGTGGAAAAGGTGCAAGTTTACTACTACTTTACTAGGACTGTTACAGTGTAGTTGACTAAAATGTAGTGATGTATTTAAACGTCTAAAGCGAGTCACAGACTACGCAGATACGATATCTGTATCTGAGCATCATATCATTTTCAAGAATGCTCTCTATGAAATTTAATGAAGTAACACACACAGAGCAAATAATTTATATTTTATCGTTAAGTATTTGTAAGCACCGACTTATTATAATGGTGACAATATAATCTGCTCATGCAAATATACGCAGTAGAACCAGAGTGACCAACATAGCCCAACGGATTAGTAAGTTGAAGTGGCAATGGGCCGACAATATAGTTCGAAAAACCGACAACCGGTGGTAAAAAAAGGTTCTCGAGTGGCAGCCTCCTACCGGTAGGCATAGTGTCTGGCGACCCCCTACTAGATGGAGTGACGACCTGGTAAGACATGCAGGAAGTCGATGGATGCAGGTAGTTCAAGACCGTGCTTTGTGGCATTCCTTGGGGGAGGACTATATTCAGCAATGGACTTGTGAAAGACTGTAATGATGATGATGATGATGATTATACAAATATATCCGCAGCTAACATCTGCATCTGCGGATTTTATCTGCAGATAAATACAGATCGTCGCTGAAAAAATGCGATTAAATTCGCTTCGGTCGTTTTTAAGCTTTATACGACGTTCTATCCAAAATGTTCGTCTTTTAGTAAATGCTAATGCTTAAATAAGTGCATCAAAATCAAAATCTGAACCCTATTCTGACGAGCTCTCTAGTAAATCTAGAAGCAATACACGCCAACTCATTGTAAGGAACACTCTGTGTAAACAATCCGCTCCAAAAAACACGTCTAGTAAATTTGAAGGATTTCGAGTGAATGTATCATTTCGTATATTATCGGGTGATTTCTGAATCTCAACAACAGCGCTACCTACCGGGTCCAAATGTGAATCTAAGCCATATAGGAAATCATTCAAACTCACAAAAAAATATCATCAAAACCGGTTGAGCCATTTTTGAGTTTTGACTTTGAGTTTTGGACTCACGGACATCAATTGAATTTTATATACAGAGACAATTATCAGCTTAATTAATTTCAATAATTTACCATCACATACACATACAGTTTTCACAAGTATCGTGATATCTGCGATGTCAATGTAAGTATATTACGTAAATAATATAAAAAGTCTAACCGTTCAAATCTCGATGTGGATAACGAAATTTCTGCGCTTTGCACAGCCGAATACCATCTATGATGGAGGCGTGATTAAGAGCGTCGGAGAATACGGCGTCTTCCGGAGTCAGCGTAGACTCGAACAGCCCTGCATTTGCGTCAAAGCACGAACCATACAGTATAGTATCTTCACGACCGTGAAATTGAGCAAGGCGTTCTTCTAGCTCCTAAACAAAAAGAGTTATTGCTTTATGTCACGTTTTGCGTTGTATTTATGGAGTGTTTTGCATTTGTACATGCGTATCCGCAAGCCGATTTTGAGCACACTACAGTAGACTCATAATTGCATTATTCAAAGCGTGGATGGCCTAGTAGTTCTAAAACAAGATTTAACTACTTCCAAATAGTATTAAATAGGGTAATTAGTTATTCAAAGAACAATTTGAACTGAGCAATGCCTATGCGCTTGAAATGTTACCTTGTGTATAGTTTGGGTTCCACAAATAAACCGCACAGAGCTCAGGCCAGCGCCATATTTTTTTAAACCCTCACGGGCCGCTTCTACCACCTCTGCGTGATTCTAAAAAAGTTAAAATACTATTAAATTTAAAAATGTTATATACTAAGTCATTTACATATAAAAAGTAACTTACAGACAATCCTAGATAGTTATTAGCACAGAAATTTAGGAAATAGCCTTCAGCTCCCTTCAATTTCACCTGAAAAGAACATTCGGAAATTTTATTTATTCCACCTTTATATACTATTTAAGGAAACTAATAAAGAAATAAGATTGCAGCTTCCCTAAAGCTAGTTATAACCGTTTTGACCCTATTTGTGTTCTCGATAAAATTAACATAAAGCAAAACTAATTATAAAATCAATGAAATTAGTCCAATTTCATAAGTGATTTTATGGATATTGTGTTTGTACTAAAAAAAAGATAAAAATATGTAAATAGTTCAGTTAATATATTTATTTAAACTATTTTGTTTTAAAAGCGACAGTAGCCAAATGGCAGGGCGCGGACAGTGAACTCAAGAAGGTCGTGGGTTCGAATCCGCCATTCGACTACTGGCGTGCACCACTCGTAACACAAGCAATTTAAGCTTACCACGAGTGGTTAAGGGGAATATTAGTAATGTTTATAACATTGTTAATATTCTTTAAAAAATCCCTTAAATGCTTAAATGACTCCGTGGAGATAGTTTATCTCATCTAACTTTATTATAAAAACACTGACTAACAGACAATGCAGTCTCTAAACCTGTAGGGTTAGAAGTATTAAATTTTGTTAGTACAGGAGTTTCGTATATAATGTCGGTGAGCATTAAGGACTGATTACTGAATTATGAAATTTATCCCTGATTATTATTTTTATGAAAAGCTAACTCTGATTGATTGACATACAACGCACAGCCTAAACCGGTGGGTCTAAAAATATGAAATTTTGCACGGGAATTTCTTAATTATAACGTACGTGAGCAATAAGAAAGGATTTGGGTATAACGATTGATGAAATAAATAAAAGATGAAAGTTTGTATGGTTAAAGGTTAGGTTTTGTTTTGTACGTAATCATCATCATCATCATCATTACAGCCTTTCATAAATTCACTGCTGAAAATGAACCACCCCCAAGGAATGCCACAAAGCACGGTCCTGGTACGCCTGAATCCATCGACTTCCAGTATCTTTTACTAGGTCTCTAGGACCTCCAGGAACTCTAGTGGGGGCCTCCCTATACTTTGCTAATCGGTAAAAGGCTGCTCTCGAGAATCTTTCTTCCCCATCGGTTATCGGTGATTGGAGCTATATACCCAGCTCACTGCCACTTCAGCTTACTGATTCGTTATCCTACCGATATCCTCATTTCTAAGTCTATCACACAGGGGAACTCCGACCCTTCTCCATAGCTCGCTGATTGACGTTTTCTTCCTCATACGGCCAACTGCGACGGACTACGTCAGATCCATATGTCATCACTGAATCACTGATAATATGCTCTAGTCGTACAACCATGTTTTAAAGTTTTGAGAGATACCTATGTGACGAGAAGATGTTGTGTCGTACCTAATCACCTGAACGCTGTCGATTAGAGTTGAATCCGTCGATTGACCTCACGGTCGAAGTTAGTCTTACCTAGCTGGACGTGGAAAACTTCAAGCGTTGTGCTCCCAACAACTACCGACATAGACAAGTGTTATATAAATAATGAACATTACATACGTTTTGTAAATAAGGATTTAGGTTATAGAATATTTTTGTCGTAGTTGATTTTTGTGATCATCATCATTATAGCCCTTCACAAGTGTACTGCTGAAGAAGTAATGTCACAAAGCACGGTGCTGAGACTCTTGTATTTATTGACTACCGAATGTCTTACCAGACGGTCTCTCCATCTGCATCGCCAGCATGTAATTTTTGGTCGGATTGCGGGATTAATAAGATTTCATTGTAAAAAGTTACCGAAATGAGTTTACAACATACCAATTCAAGTCATTCTTGCACTGGTACCAACAAACCGGTAACAAGATATGAGGATAAAGTTGCAAAAAAGCAAGGCATGTCCTCTGCAATTCAACCTTCAAATTCTCGGTCGTAATCTTATAATTCGAACTTTTCTCTCCACCAAGAACAAGGTTCGTGCGACATTCAAATTATTATGCATCCGTTTGGAAGTGCTAAGTTAAAAGTTAAAACCTTACAAATTATAGTATTTATCAATCCGAGGGTATCGGCTTTGGAGTTTATCCTTGCATTGGTACCTAATACGTGTATAATAAAATTAATATTTTTAAAATAAAGGGTAAGCAGAGGAGTTTAAGTCGGACAATGAAGAAGATTTTCTAATACTCGTATTAAGTAAATTTGATTGTACATAACCTAATTAACCTTAGTATCCTGAGGTGACGTAAGCACTCTTTCATGTTTCCAAGTTTTTGCCTTTTTTATCTCCTGCAACCTATCGTCTAACACTTCACGTAGTTGGGCTACTCCAGGCCTCTCATTTCTGTTCAGTTCATGCAACTTTCGTACTTGCTGACCATTGTACACTGAAATATTGAAATATACTTTATTTATTTTTTAATTATTACTTAAAATATTAAATATTATCAAATAACTTAATAAATAAATGATTAAAAGCGTAAATTTAATCTTAATATTTATATATTTACACGTCAACTCATTAAAAATAAACGCATAATTTATCCAGATCTCAGATGAAGTAAACAGATATCCTCCTATCTAATGATTATAAGATAGTTACTTAGAATCATGGACCTAGAAAAAGGGCCCTTTTTTTCTAGGTCCATGCTTAGAATATTACTAGTAAGTAGGTACTAAGTACAGGGTGATAGTCGTCTGGACACTTTTGTACGGATTACATTGAGATAATAATAATCTTCAAACGGAGTTCTCAAAATTCTGTTGATTCTTTGTATTATTTTATAGAATAATGAAAGACTGACTCATTGAGTAGATTTTATGATTTTCTTTTCAAAAGAGAAAAAGATTAAGATCACTCCTTGAGCCTCACTCATTGCGAAATGCCAAAACGAAAGAAATGAAGCTATTTTTTAGGCGAAATATTAGTTAAATAAAAGTTGACAGCCAAAAGATTAATTTAAATTCACTTGAAACAAACTTGGTGTTCGTGTTATTGTAAGTCATCAGTGCATTTTATTATCTTAAGCAATTGTTGTGTTTAGCCCACCGGCATGCATCTACCTATAGTGTAAATAAACACAAACGTCTAATTCTAAAAGTTGAGCTAAAGTGACTTTGAGATTATAAAAATATGTACTCTGTGTTTGAGATCTTCTGTAGTTTTCAGAAAACGTAATAGTACCTAATAGATAGTTTAAAAATAACTGTTATTTACGTCGGCAAGAGTTTTGTTAACGTAAACAGTGTACGGTGTGTAGGTACCTACAGTGTGTTGAGGAAAACCTCTAGAATCTAGATAAGTAACGGTGTCATGAAACTATAAAGCGGTGTTCGCGGTGTTATCCAAGGTCTTTGGAAATTACATGGAAGATGTTGATATTAAAAGAAATTAAAAAAAATTATGATTCTTATGCTGTGTGGATAAAGTTAGTTTCAAACTAGCTGTATATAAAAAAAAGAGAAAGTTCTCGATTAAATTTTATCCTCATTTACATTGCCTCTTTATTATTTGCAAATAGCACTATTCGGCCCAAGGTTTAATTATTTTCGCATCGAAAAATACGTTAAAGACTAGGCGGTAGGTATCTTTAACCTATTTTAATTACAACTATTGCATTAAAATTAATGTACACAGTTTATATTTGTCCAAAAAAAAAATATTATAACAGCCACAAAAAGAAAACAAGCAAGAACACTGTTCATGTAAAAAATCACCTGTGCGCAGGAGTTGTGAGCGTGCCGCCATTGCGTCGAATCATTCGACTCGAATGGAGGCGCGTCGCTGACGTGACGCTATACCATATACCGTACCTTCCCTCGCCTCGCATCCGTCGTCAGGCGAAGGCGCCGTACGGTCCGGGCAAATGCCTTTTACGGCACCTCTACACGTTGGCCAACACAGTGGCGAATGTAGTGGCCAATAGCATTGGCCAACGTGTAGACGGGGTGTTTGGGCTTCATTGGTATGTATTGGAACGATGGCCCGCAAGTTGGCGCGAGATCGGTATGGTGTCGGTTTTTTACAAAAGATCAAAGGATTGTTGGCAGAGTGGTCGCCGCGTCCACACGTTGGCCGCGCGTTCAGTTTGCTACAAGCTCCCAGAGTGATTACACGCATCTGGTTTAAATTTTATATTCAAGCTTTGTAGGGTGGATGCCCCAATTACCAGCCTTTTAGTGCTAATTTCAACTTTAAACATTCGTATTAATTTAACTAGCGCGATTTAATTATTATTGAACATTTGTTTTAATCAATAAGCTATTTATCAAAAAAAAATTAACTTTTTTTACAATCAGATTATTGCGAGAACAATTTTAAAATGAAAAAAAAAATGAAGCACGTCGTTTATTCGTGGTAGAACCATGCAATTATATTAGAAGTATAGTTGCAGCACGAAGGTCGACTCGACCGGGGAAGGACCACGCTCTCACAGAATATCAGCATAAGATAGTAGCTTACTGATGCTGTGTTTCGTATAGTGAGTGTAAAGAACCAGAGACCCTTTTTAAAGGAAACGAGGCATTTCATCTTAGTCCTCACGGGTGACAACGCATCTGCATTTTGATTCGTAATCGAGGATAGATGTAGATGTATGTGGGCCACAGTAACCACTTACCATCAGGTGAACTGTGTGCTCGTTTGTCACCCTATCCTATAAAAAAACGTCGATTTCTTATAATTTTATCGTGCAAGATTTCGAATCATCATCATCATTACAGCTGTTCACAAGTCCACTACGGAACATCCTCCTCCACAGACTGCCGCAAAACATGATCCTGAGCCACTTTGCTCGTTATGAGTTCTTCATTTATGTTCTAAGTTATAATTAGTACCTATTTTAAGTCGGTGTTAATTATATTTATTGCTATTGTTTTTGTCTTTCTCAAAAAATAATTAAATTACCAAATAAATTATAAGGTGTTTTTTATATACATCAAATGTCTGATAGAAAAGCAAGTATATGTTTTGCTAAACTTTAAAATCAAAACCCAATTTTAAAACATAGACTAATCGATTATAACTCCTTTAACTTTAAAATAAGTTCAGTTCTTATTAGTGGTATTTATTCCAGTTTACGATGCATGTAAAGAATAAAATAAAGCTAATCGTATATCGTATATCTATTTACAGCCCCATTAATATCCACTATTCTTTTATAATTATTTTATAAAAACGTTACCCCCACACTTGGATTTTCTCCTGTATCGCGGAGGCAGCTTACAAACATAAATTGCACAAGGACACACATCCAGACCCGAAACAATTATTTGTAGGATATACAAATACTTGTTCCGTGCGGGATTCAAACCCGCGGCCCCCAGAACAGCGACTCATTGCTAAGCCACTGCGTCACGGAGCCGTCGTCTAAAATAAAATATATTCGTCCGCACATTGGCCCGAACCGAAGTAAACTGAACGACCTTCCAACGTGTGGACGCCGTCACCAACTCTCGGCCAATATATTCGCCACTCCATTCGCCACTGTGTTGGCCAACGTGTAGAGGCGACATTAGTAGACTAGTCACGCAAGTTTCAGTTACCTACGTAAGTATTTAATTTGTAATAAAGACTGTAGAGTATGCGAAACATTAGGTGCCACATACAAAATATTCTGCACTCTGCTCCTTGTAAAGTCTCATTCAATTATGTGGGCTGCGAAGATTAAAACAAAAAAGTTAATTAATAATATAGTACCCACATCCATTTTCTTTCTTTTGTATGGAGTAAATCAGAAATGAAAAGTTTCGTGCACCAATTTTATCATGATTGGTTGGTTGGCTAATAATAAAACTAGATGGCGGTTGTGATCGGGAACGAAGATAAAACCGTTAAAAGTTTGGTAGCTGAAGAAATTCAGGCTGTACCGTATGCATCTTCCAATTGCAATCCCGGAGTTCCGTGTTTTTAAGTCACTAAAGCAGAGAATAAGGGACAATAACCTTATTGTTACAAAAACCGACAGGGCGGTAGGTAGTGTTGTCATCATGGATAGTAGCTACTAGCTAGCTAGATAGTAGTACAGCTAGAAGGTTAACGATGTTAACCAAGGCGTTGACTGAACTATTGGAGTCTGACCCAACCAAAAAGTTAACTTACGATATAATGTGTGTATACAACAGTCATCATATGTTTATCCCGATCACAACTTGTCTCGGAGCAGTCCTTATCCGATGAATCCTGAAGCACTCATTTTATATGGGTTACCGAAAATACATACAGAACATTCTATTCGTCCAGTTGCCTCATATATATGTGCAACAGCTTATTTTCTTGTTAAAAAGTTAAACTTCCTCCTGCGGGAGAAATGTGGATTCAATCCAACTTACAGCCTTAAAAATAGTTTAGATCTCATTTTAAATATTAAAGATGTTCTTATTCCACCTAAATCCATGTTCTTCTTTTCACAAATGTCCCATCCCCAGACTGTTTGCGTATACTCGCAGATCTCTTTAGTAAACGTCGTCTACATACCGTGGAAACAAATGACCTTAACTTAATCTCTCTTTGTATGAAACAAAACTTTTTTACTTAACTACTTTTTTCTATTTTTGGCTTAATAACCGTTTCTGTCTACAAAAATAGAGAACTATTTAAAAGAACTTTATGTAATTTATTCTATTACGGTCTTCAACGGTTATTCAAAAAATATCATTGTTAATAATACTTTTCGATCGAGCGGCGTTTACCTGGCGTTCAAAACAAACAATTCTCTTAGGAATATCTGTAATAATAAACATAACTTAGATAATCGTCAAAAGTCTGGTTGTTTAGAAACTTGTTTGTGACGAATGCCACGCCGTTTATGTGGGTCAAACTGATCGCAACTTCGAAACACGTTATAAAGAGCATTTAGGCGCGTACAGCAATTATTGTAGGTAGTCCCGATAAATCACATTTTGCTAAACATTTCTTGGACTCTGGACACAACCTAGCCAATCCCCTGAAGTCTTACATACTTGTAATAAAGGACTACGAATGTGTGTGCTGGAACAGTTAGAGATATTAAAAAATAATAATAATAGTAACGTTGCACTGTTGAATGAACAAACAAATGTTTCTTACTCTACTCTTAAACATCTTTAAGCTTGCTCCATAACATACAGCCTCGCAATGTGGTCGTTTGTCACCTTCACGGTGACCAGCGATTGGTTGCACGGCTGGAGGGTAGGCGGACGTTTCGCAGCGGTCTTTTGTTAAATTTTATAGCAAATGGCTGCGTACGTTAGGTGGTGATTGGTCGCATGACGAGTCGCTCGCTACTTAAGTGGGGAGTGATTGCGTCAGCAAGTTATATAAATAACAGCTGTTACGTCTCGCTGTTCACTTAGCGGTCAGCCATAGCAGAGTCTAATTCACATGAGGATGCCTCGTGTAGAGGCGAAACACGTGTCGTATTATCGTGGTTGGTGTGTCTTTCCTATAGTGGTGGTGTTGAGAGTGGTTGATGACGGAGATAGTGCACGCAATTGATGGAGGGTGGGAGGTGCTCTTGAAATTGGGTAGAACGCATCATTTTAAATCATTTCGATGAAATAAGCAAATTAAGTTCTAATTACTTTAATATAATGGATTTCCGCAGAAGTAAAGCTCGATTGTATTATTTATAATTAAACGGTTTTAAAAAATATTGAATCAAGCGACAAAACCAAAATAATTCATTTTGAATGCAGGTCGATTTTAAGCCAATCAAACCCCGAAAAATCTAGATTTTGTTCAAAATCAGTCTTCATGCCTTACGTAAATTAAGCGAGACCTCAAAATTTGTAGGAAAGCCAGCACTATACTGATATATAACTAGGAACTAAACGTCAAATTCTTCTATTTTAAAATGTTATAGATTATACAATTTTAAAACGCAACACCGAATTAATCGGATAAATATACGTCTACATGTATCTCCTTAAAGTAGGCTCCGTATTAAAAAAAAAAAACACATATCTTCATATGTGGATTCCAAATAAAGAGCCTGAACCTGTGCTCTGATTCATGTAGGGGTCAGAATAGAAATGTCAAGTTACCTTTTTACTATTTGCAGTAACAATGCTGAAACAGGACACGAATTTAGACCGAATTACTTTACCATCCGTGATCCTTGGGCATTTTTCTAGGTAACCGATTTTGATGTTTTTTTTTATTTGAAAGCTGGTCCCACATGTGGTCTCATATAAATTTGATCAAGATCTGACCACTAGTTCGAGTTATCCTTAATAATGCGTATTTAATTGACAATCGACTACATTGATGATGTCCTCATTTAATTTAGATTGAACTTGGTTGTAGATTTTTTTTTTATTTTCCACTTGTATTGACATTGAATCTGCTTTACACTCCACAAGATTTTAATATGGCTGTAATCGTTTATGCCATAAAAGAAATAAATAATTTCTAGATTAGATCGAAAAATTATAATTTAAAAATGCCCAACAAACATTTACGACGTTGAGTAGACGTTGTGGTGGCAACTTAATGTTATATGGTATAATCGTATAAATATCATAAAGACGTTTACTCGACGGCATTAGGGCCCATTTTATACAACTTAAGATGCTAAGAGTTTCGTGTAACAGTCATATGAATACCTACTTAGTCACATAGTCGTCATATACATGTTGGCGATTCGACTAGATGTCGTGTAATGATAATTGTCGCGACGAGTTCGTGTCGAGTAATGGCGCACGGTATGACTTTTATATAATGTAGTCGTTGTATTATTGTCATTTAAAGATGATGCAACTTGTATTGAA